TATAATGCCATACTACACGAGCACCATCCACTTTATAAGAAATGCATTTCATACTTGTTATATTCCATTCCTTATCCCTGTGTTCTGCTATGAACACAAACATGGTAATTATACATATTACAGTAGAAACTGAAATGACTTATGCTTTATCTATTTGTTTATTTACTTATTTATTTACTTATCTATTATTTAATTTTGTAGATGTTAACAAAGTAGACTTAAAACAAATGTATCGCCATTACAGTCATACGGCGTCTTTCCGACGTGCCGACTTTGAATATTTTCAGGAATATACTATGCAACCATTACAATGTATGAATAGAACAAAACCCAAACTGTAGATAGATAAACTGTGGAATAGATATTACGAGTACTCTGAATGCATGTTTATACTATTTTTATTGATAAAACTTGTTTTAATATATCAGTATTATGTTGTTTTAAGAGTATATTCTTCAAAATTAATATTGTAATTGTTGTTTGAGAATTACATACAAATATATAAAGCAGTGTTTTAGCAATATATAATTACTGAGTATAAGATCATTCTTCTCCCCCCAAATCCCTGCTGGTATCTATCCCGTTCGCGCAGATTCTTAGGTCAAAATCACGTGTCCACTAAAATAGTAGCTCTTATTACCGGAAATATCAAATATATGTAAAGATATATAAGACACAATAAAATATGTATTCATTCTATATTCTCTCCATATAAATCTGTTCTGCTTCGAATGTGGCTCCCCCTCGTTCCGTTCCAAGGCGTTCCTCGTGGTCCGGCCTTGGCCAGAGGAACGGCGGCGAGGAACGGCGTGCGGGAAGGAGACCGCAAGAACCAACGGTAGTGTCTGCACGTGTCGCGTTCGGCTCGTAATACAACATGGGAAGGCCAGGTTAGATGTGTTTTGTGACGTTGTCTTGGGTAATCACGTAGTTGTATGTTGCGAGTGAAGTGAGGATGTGATTGGTATATTGCATGTCAAGGGGGTTGTTAAGCGAACGTCGATTCATTAGTTGTGGTGATTGTTTTCGTCACGTGTGCGGTTGGCATTGCTTAGGAGTCGTGGTTCGCTTGGGATATTTGCCTGAGGATTTCTACATTTGTACTGTAAATGCGATCATTCAAACACTAATTAATCAACTCGCCAAGTTGTTCCCGGTCATTGGTTTATGTTAGACACGTGAGGTAAACTTGTATACATGTGGACGCAGGTCAATGCTTGTCCTGATAACAACGTGTCTGCTTCGTTTAACAATTTAAAACTTAAGTTTTGTTTTTTTCTTGTACATTATTATTAAGAGTGGTGAATGGTTTTAACAAATCCTCCTTTCAAAACTTGCTATGTATAATGTTGCATCTTTTCTTCAAAGTAAAAAATATATATTGTAATCTGTGATGGTTTTCTCCAGTGATGGCCTAGGTCTCCGGAATGCCCTGGCAGAGGTCGAGACTTAATCTATATCCTGGCTTGATTAAACTTTGAAGCAGTCGTTAGTTCAAGGCAGATTGTTAAGGAGATTTAGAGGCTCTCGTTTCCCAGAGTATACATGTTGGAGGTCTGTTGGGCTTTTGCCTTAGGTTCATAATCTGTGGGAAACTAACAAGTGACCCAGAAACTGGTAATTCCTTGCAGTACAGATATGCTCACGGAAGACTAAATCCCCAGCTGCACATCTCAATTTTTTTCAATAATTTAAGATGCTGTGATTGGGCATCTCCCTCAAGATGTCCAAGGAGAGGGATGCTGGGCCCCAAACACTCCCCTGGCAAACACTGTCTTTACCTCAGTATACTAGGCAAGATAGAGCTGAAACTTAGGATGATGTGGAGTTGGGGCTTTTAATAATAATAATAATTTAGGGTTTGGTGTGTAGGTCAGCAAGACCGGCAGGTGCATTGTATTGTTAAGATTTACCTTTACCTAATTTTTATCCTCTCTATTTTTGTCGAAAAGTCTTATTGTCCTATTAGGAAATAATTTATAAGAATTCAAGATAAAGGAATTAAGGAGGATGTATTAACAGTTTTGATTTTTTTGCAGTTAGAGGTATTCTGAGATTTGAATATTTGACTAGTTTATATGGCTAGTGATGAATATATATTAAGCTAGGCCTGTGAATGTTTAAAAAGATAGAGGCTAAGTTAGATTGAGTTTGGTGAAGTATACTTTTTTTTTCATGGATAGAACAGGATCTGGTATGGTTTTCATATTTTAGATTTGAATAATTTAACATTCTTGGTCCATGTATTTTGATCATCTTGGCCTTACATTAAAGGTAGTATGGAATTAAAGTTATTATACTTTCTTTAGTCTTTAATTTTATTAATCAAGACAATCTGATTATACTGTAAGGCTAAAAAAAAAAAAAAAAAAAAGAGAGGGGGGGGGGGGGATTGTGGTGGGTTTCAAGAATATCTTGTTATAGGAAAGAATTTGGCCAAGAGATGAGTGATGGGAACATATCATGATTGTAGAAAGCACGTGGAGGGAAATTGACTAAATGAGCCTTTAGAAGGGAATTGTTCACAACCATGTCTGGTATAGGGCTGTTTTTAGAGGGGACACTGTTTCCATGAAGAGGGTTTGCTAGGCCTACATGCCACATGCTTGAGAGTTGCCACCCAAGAAACCCTAATGGCTGGAGTTTGGTCCACGTGCAAACTGGGTTGAAAATTGAAAAACTAAACAATACATATACTTTATTGACATGCATCGTTCTTTCAGATTTTTCACCCCGCGGTGGTGGTTTCCGTGGAGGAAGGGGCGGAGGAGGAGGAGGATTTTCCCCTAGAGGCCGTGGCGGAGGAGACAGAGGATTCTCACCGAGGGGAGGACGAGGCGGTGGTGGCGGAGGGGACAGAGGTTTCTCCCCCAGAGGCCGCGGTGGTGGCCGTGGAGGTGGCCGCGGGCGAGGAGGAGGACGTGGAGGCGGACGAGGTGAGTAATGTTTCTCTTGCTGGTTTGACTAGAGTAGCTTTTGAATTAGATTAGTTTTGTAAATGTATATGTTATTATTGATATTAGTGTTGTTATATTAACATTTTTATTATTAGTATTTTTATTATCATTGTTGGAGTTCATATTTTCATTACTAATAAGTATTCGTACAACTTATTTACATATGTCATTGAAGACTTACCATAGGATAAACTTCGTCTTTTCAGGGGGATTCAAGGGTGGCAAAAATGTTATGGTTGAACCCCATCGTCACGAAGGAGTGTTCATTGGCCGCGGAAAGGAGGATGTTCTCTGTACCAGAAATCTTGTACCAGGAGAAAGTGTCTACGGAGAGAAACGTATCAGTGTTGAGGTAAGTATCATTTCTCCATAATTTTTAAGAAAAATGTGGAAATATATACCTCCCTATGACAGTTTTGGATTAATTATGCCATTCACACTGGCTGACATCCTATTATAACTCTGTAAAAACGTCACTGATGCTGGGTGATAGCTAAGCATGTAATGAACCCAGGTAGTGGCAACAAAATAACACCACAGGACCAGATTGCTAATGTTCCCAAGCTTCACTAGATTTTTATGAAATTTTACCTGTTGGACATGGGTAAATATCTTGATAATAAACCTATTGATTTTACGCAATTATTAGTTAATGAAATAAATCCTGACAGGTAAAGAAGATAAATCTGAAATTGTTTATTATTCTTTAAATATCATATGACATTAGTAGGTGTAGTAGCCCCAAAAATAATAAAGCAATATCTATTTCAGCAAGGAACCGACAAGATTGAGTACCGTGTGTGGAATCCTTTCCGTTCAAAGTTGGCTGCTGCCATTGTAGGTGGAATTGGGAATATCTATATGCCTCCAGGCTCCAGAGTACTCTACTTGGGTGCTGCTAATGGCACAACAGTATCACACGTTTCCGATGTAGTTGGACCAGTAAGTAAATGTTAGATTTGGCTGCTGTAAATGGCAGTTAGTTAGTAGATACTGTTCAAGACAAATTACTGTAGACCATTCTTTAGGTGAACTTAATTACAGTAACTACCATTTATCATCTTAAATAAGAAAAACATTTATACAATTAGTTATTCATATAACATTTTTGTACACCATATTTTATTAAGATTCAGAATTAAATGGAACTCTTATTAATCTGTGAAAAAAAAATATATATATATATCTGTTGGCTGATAATTTTTTTACTCTTGCCCACATTAGGAAGGCGTAGTGTATGCTGTAGAGTTCTCACACCGATCAGGACGTGACTTGGTAAACATGGCCAAGAAGCGCACCAACATTGTACCCATTGTGGAGGATGCACGTCACCCTCACAAATACCGCATGATTGTCAGCATGGTAGACTGTATCTTTGCTGATGTTGCCCAGCCTGATCAGGCGCGTATTGTGGCCATCAATGCCCAGCACTTCCTCAAAGTGAATGGCCATTATGTCATCTCTATCAAGGCCAATTGTATTGATTCAACAGCCCCTGCAGAAGCTGTATTTGCTGGGGAAATTAAGAAACTTCAGGCCGATTTGCTCAAGCCTCAAGAACAACTTACCTTGGAACCCTATGAGAGAGACCACGCAGTTGTAGTTGGTGTATACAGACCCCCAAAGAAGAATAAGTAGTGTGTAAATAGCTAGGTCACAGTTTAATCAATATATAATGTATTATGTATGACTGGTAACAGCTATGCAGCCTCAACTGTTTATCATTCCTCTCGAGGAGATAGGGAAATTAGGTGGACATTTGACCTATTAGGGTTTATTTTTGAAAAGATTCTACCTGGATAAATGACAAGGATACAATATATTTATAGATATTGTGCTAAACGGAAAGTAATTTTCAGTTTTCTCAATTTGACAGGAATCTTGTCATTCAATTCACTTTGTTTTGAAGAACAGTACTTTTTGAAAACTGGAAATTGAACTTTTATTTAGTGTTCTGATATGTCCATTGTTGTAGCTAGTGTGTCATTGCATTTTATAATATAGCTTTTATTATAATTGAAAAATATCAATCATATCTCCATATTAAGTACTGTACACTCATACCATATTGGTAAATATATGTTTGTTTTTTTGAAAAGTGTTTTTATTCCCAAGTGAACTTTGACTTTGGAACTACTTTGATGTTAATTTTCTATTTAATCTCAAGCGTTTGATCATAATAACTGTAGTTCTAATTTTGTGGCACATCCTCAAAAGATCATTTAAAAAATATTCATGTTGCAAGTTCCAAAGATGTAAAGAAATCTTTAGATATTACTTAACAATAAACAAATAACTGGTTCATGTGGCTCCTGTGGTGCCATTGATTCATGCCTATGAACATATAATTTTCAGTTTTGCAATAGTCTGTTACAACCTATTTAAAGGGTCTTTTATTGAATGACTGCCACTTCATTATAGTACAAAACATTTATTAGAAATACACAATATTTTATAGCAATGCAACACTGCCCCACTTCCAATCCCTTGCAAATTGTAGTCCTTGTGGGGGCTTTGGAGTCGAGGATTGAGACCCAATGCTTGGGATCTCCCCAGCCTTGGGCCTCAACCCTCCCCCTTTTCTTTTCCCTCTCTTCTCCAACCCCTCCTACTATACTTTTCCTAAGGTGTGAGAGCCATGTTGAAAGGATGAACGGCCTGGGGTAGCCATAGGTACAGTATTCCCATTTAGCTGTCTATCCCGTGGCCAGTAATGAAAACTTTATACCCTTATTAGGGGCAATAAGGGTTTCCCCTTGATCAAGTAGCCCCACTGATTCAAAGTCTCCTGGTTCCCCAACCCCAGGCTTTCCTTTGACCAATACTCTGAACACTGATGCTACCTCGTCCTAAATGTCTACTATTAAGTCATCCATCCAGGTCAACATTCAACCTCCAGAAGATATTCCTACTCTCTCAACATAATCAACGAAAGTATAACTATCCTTCATTGGAATATTTGCAGTTTCCGCTCCCACAGACCTGACCATCATATCCTTTCCTCTTATAACCCATCTATTGTATGCCTTCAAGAAACCTTTCTTATGCATACCCTTTATCTAATATAACACCCGACCTTAACCCTTTCACTCACTAATTCCTTTGCCCAGCTTAGACAACTAATCACTAACTCAACCACCCTTCACTAACATTAACTATAGTGCTACATGACCTTAGATGTCTAGCACATTTATCTTGCTTTTAACCATTAACCTACTCTCTCAACATCCTCAGCTTTATCCCCTCTAATCCTACAA